ATTTAGGTATTTAAAAGAAAAATCAGATTCATTAACTCCATACAATTATTGCATTCTCTAATCACTATAATGAACCTGTTTCCCACTGATTTTTCAGGCATTACTAATAAGACATGACATTAATATTGCTATTTCAGCTACGTCAAAGCAGAAACTACAATCATAGTACTTCAGAAGGTGAAATTTTAGCTGCTCCTCTACCTTCAAGATGTTCTCATAAATTTCTCAGTTTGTGAAAGGCAATAGTTGAGTAAAGCCTAATTAAAAGGTGTGTTACAACACTGTTGCAAGAGACTTTACAATATTGGTTCTGTGTGTCTTTAAATCCAGATTTCAAGGAAAGCTGACACAGCCCTGAGCAACCTAAGCCTTGCAGAAGACTGAAGCCAAAAATCTCCACACACCTTTTCCAACCTAAATTCTTCTTTCAATTGCACTTATGTGTGAGATGTTTCTATAATCAAGTCAAGTTTGCTGACGGTCATTTTTACAGTGGATTACAAAATCCAATTGAGAAAGGCTTAATTAAATTAGCAAACTGGACAACATAATGACAAAATAAATTCAGCACAAACCAGCATAAGATATTACATGTCATATTACACTAATGGATTCAAATATTGTCAGTGGGAAAATATAATCTGCAGCCTTTCATGGGAAAGATCTCTGCTGTTGTGGCAATGAGAACACACACCTGCTTCACACTACTGTGATCAAGAAAAAAGCTACACACCAAGTATGGAGTGGATGGAAGGCAGTGTTAAGTGTCAGCATGAGACAGATGTAGCAACAATCAACAGATTTTCTTTCAGTATTTATTCTATCACCCCTTGAAAAAACAGAAGAATTAAATTCTACCCAACAATTATGAGAAAAACAGTTGCTCTATAATAAGAAATCAAGCCTTGTAATTAGTCAGCTAAATAGTAATATAACTGAGGTACATACATAGAATATGTACATATGCATATAATAAAGGAGGGACACTTCAACTTTCAAGGAGTATTTTCTTTTTATAAAGAATGATTAGCATAAATTCATTGGCACAAATATAACTTAACTATTTTTAAAAACAAGCATTTTTAAAACCAAAAAGCATGTGTAGAAGAGCTTTCTAGGGAAAAAATATCAATCAACACTCTCACCTTTAAGCATTATCTGAATAACATGAAAGTACTATATATTTGTTCTGATTCTTCCAGTGTTTTCAATAGAGGAGGAAAGAAATTAGACAAGATGTGCTACTAGAAAATAGAAAAGATTTGAGTCTCACACAATCATTTTCTTAGGTTTGAAATGGCCTAGTTATGGCAAATAACATGCACTTTATCACATTCCTGATAAACTTTCATTTAATACATGATGTCTCTAATTTGGCTGAATGGGAACAGTAATTTGGCCATACACTTCTATCAAAATTATCCTGGTTATAGAATGACTTTGCATTTAAACCAATGCTATTTGACACGCTAGACCAAATTTAAATATTCCATGTATGGTACAGGAAAAGTCTTTGCAGCACTGTCTTTGAAAAGATGCTTATTTACCCTTGCAGCTAAAGGCTCATCCACTGCTATGAACAGAGCTCCAAGAACAAAACAACAACTGCTCCAATTGGCCACTGTCACAGTTGGGCACCACATCTCTTCCAAGGCAAGAAGCAGGTTACACTCCCCCAGGCATGCAGAACGCCCATTCACACCAGCCAGAGAGGCCCATCAAGGCAGAATTCAGGCACTTGCAATGATGGCTCCTTTTAAAACATCCTCCAGTGGTTTCTGGTAGACAGCTTTACAAAACCGTCTCAAATCCACCAAACAAAGTTTCGACTCAAAGAGCTTCACTGCAATATTAACTATGCTGCCCCAGTGTCCTGCTTCATTTTATTGTGACCTAGAAAATCCAGTACTCCAAAAGAAGCAGCAATTTTGGGTTGTACACAGTGAGCTTTTTTTGGGGAGGTATGGGTAAATGAGCAGCTTCAGCTATGGCTATCACTGTGTCTAGGTCAACAGCATCAAACTCAGTGCAGCCAGAACACAGTATCATTGTTGTATGATGATGTGCTGTATGAGGAGACTTCAAGAACATGAAATTCTCAGGAGAAAAAGAAATTGTGGTTTTTGGTATTATATATTTTCTAAATAAAGCAATAGTCTCAGGAAAACAGCAAATACATACTGTAGGAACAGAGCTGCCATAAATAAAAAACAAGAAGTAAATAATAAATGTAATTTAAATAACTTACTCAGTTTCCTATGACCAGTAACCCAGCATTTCCAACCTCCCTCAAAACAAAACTCACCACACACTACAGTAACAGAGCTGGCTAAGAGGTAGAATATTTTCACAGGTTTGTGAAATTAGCTTTCCAAGAGAAATTTACTAGTCTGAAAAGTAGCACTCTGGAAATAGCACTGGGGTTTCATCTAGCCTTCCTTTAGGGATTTTCCATACCAAGTATGCCTAATGTATTCCTGCCCTCTGCACCTAAATCAAGTCCAGGCAGCACAGCAGTGTTCTCCTCTATTTCATACTTCATCAATAACATAAGCTTCCCATATCTGGAGAAAAATTCTCACCTCAACAACACCAGCATCTCAACAATAGGTGCCTTTTCAGCAAATAAACTATTATCACTGTTTCATACACCAGTATAAACATCTAAGTTCCCTCCCTCAAAAAAAGAGAAATTACAGCCTAGCTGAAATAATTATGTCTCTTAGACTGTTCCAGAAGCAACAAGGTTAATTCTCACTTCAAAAATAGTAATAGAGATCCTAGTTTATTCTCTTATTAGGTCCTTAGATTAACACTTGCACAAATCTGACTTCAACACACTGCTATCCCCAAGGCATTGAAATTTCTGTCTGGAACTCAGTAAACAACATCATTTCTGATAATCAAAACCCAAAGTTATTCACCCCTTCAACTGTGCTGGATTTGCAGTCTTGTAAAATTTTTAAATAATGAGAAGTATTTTGCCCATGGAAGCAGTAATTATAATTGAATGCCATGAATAAGAGCATAATTTCAATCATGGCTACTTTTCAGAGCAGAAAAGTTAATCTACACAGCAGACAATGAGAACCCTGAAAACAACAAAACAAACCAAGCAAGCAACCTTCAACACACTTGGCTTAGTTTATTCTCAAATACAAACCCTTGTGTCTCAACATGCATTAGAATATCATTATTGCTACGTGCACCAAGGTATGTTCTGGGAGAGATGCTGAGGGAAACACGCAGTGAAGTCAAACCCACGTATCAGAGTTGGGGATAAGCAATGAAAACTTCAAAAAGGATAAAGCAATAATGCCACTAAAACATGTTACACCACAGCCCTGATCCTGCTGCTCCAGTCCCGGTGCCTTAACCACACAGGAAGAGCTTAAACTCGAGGTATGGCTTTACAAGGACAAACGTCCATGCAAGGCACCACCACCCATTTTCCAAGTCCATCTGCCAGAGAGGAAAGAATGGCACCTGGACTCCTCAGCCACTGAGGTGCTGCCTGCTCTGCTGACACAGGCAAGCAGCAGCAATAACGCTGTGACACAGGCACACTGCCAGCAGCTGAGCAGTGCTGCCTGTGCCCGGCACTGCCCGAGAGCAGAGCTGCACTCACACAGCAACACCAGGAGGGGCAGGGGAGGATGGTCCTGCACACAATGGCTGGGAAGAAGTGAGAGAAAAATCATAGTGCTCTCCCCACTCTTCCGAGCTCCTTGCCTGGCCTCTGGCTTGTTTGTTTTTTTGGAGCACTGGGCCAGGATGCCTGAAGAGTGATGGAGAGCCACAATGCTGAAGTCGTTAAGTTTGAGCTCCTCACTTCTCACACACGTGTTAAGTAAATACGATTATGATATTACACAAAGCACAGCAGGGAAAGCAGAGGGACAGAAAGAGGCACACATGCAGATAAATAGCTCCTTTCACCCCCAATTATGCCACCCAGAAATTTTTGCCAAAACACATATAATTTTTACCTTCAATAAAAATCAGCATGATGGGAAACCTAGTGAACAGACTTTATTATATCTGTCCAGCTCAGTTTCTCCTTCCATTTGTTTCCATTACATCATTAACAGAAAAAACTAACAAAAGCTCATCATACTGAGGTTTTTTAAAAGTATGTGTAGTTTATAAGGAAGCTTCACTCAAATCAGCTCACAATAGCCTTTTTCTTGAATCCACACCCCTTTACAACCACATCCAAACCCACCACTGCTAATGCTGTCTGTTCACTGCGAGCCTCTCACTCTCCCTTACACTTTTTCTTTCCATAAAGCAAGCATCTCCTGTCATCCAATTCCCTTGTGCATGCTTAAAATTTAATCACAATACCCAAGGTGTCAATAATCATGTTTGTCTTTCTGACAAGAATCAGAAATGGAAATAAAGTTCATGCTGCATAACAATAATGTAATCTGCAGTGCTGCAACTGAACAACTTTTCAAGAAGTCTAAAGCAACCTCCTCTCACTTTAGAGCATACAAAGGAAATCAGCCTTTTGAAACTAAATGTAATATGCCAAGCAACTTGATTCAGCTACTAACTAATAAATTAGATAAAAGCCACTAGGAAAAAATGCCAGGATCCCCTGCCAAACCATCAGCATCACCTTTAAAAAACATACTTCACTGCCTCAAAATTAAAATGGGACGGGAAAAATGTAACTATATTGATAGATATTTATTGTTAATATAATTAGTATTTCCCCATGGCTGCTTAAGACAGCATTACTAAAACAGTTTTAGCAGCAAGGTTGGAAAACACTACATAGCCTAGAGTGCCCTCTTCCTTTTCCAAGAGGAATTTCAGGGAAATACTGCTGATGAAGATGTCAATCAGTTGTTTCTCTGAATATCAAATAAAATAGATAATTAGACTGTATTAAAACATGAAAAAAGTTCAGTATAATTTAAGTTCAGCATAATTTAAGCAAAATCCTTATATGAGTGATGAATCTAATTCTAGCTTAATAAAAATATACTTACAGAGCCATCTGAAATTGTTCAAGCCATTTTTTCTTTAAGTCTTTAGTTTTGCAATAAACTTCTAAACCATTTTCACCTTGGATATGAATGAGGTAGAAGCCATAAGACCACTGCATAAGAAGATTGGTAATACAAAAGTCATCAGTTATGAAGAAAGGAAAGGGGGGAAAGAACCTAGAAAATAACAAAGCATTTTTATATTCTTTAATTCTTAATTTTGGGAACAGTTATGACCACTTTATTGTGTTCCTTTAGAACAACTTACTCAAACATTTCAATTATCTCAAAATAAACAAAGTTGAAGATTCTAAATATTACTCCAGCTTATATTTAAAACAAAAAACATCTTACAGAAATTGCATTTACATTTTAAACTCCCGCAAAATGCTTCAAATTCTTGCCAAAAATAAACATTTTATGTGAATTAGCAAAAAATATTTACCTTCTTATTTTCTTTATCAGTAGTGGGGTTGTTTGTAATTTTATATTTCTGAAGATCTATTATTTCCTTCATTTCATAATTATCTCCTCTCCGTTTGCAAACAATGACAGCTAGATCAAACAAGAAGATATGCCTATGAAAATACAATACAGAGATGGTTAAAAACACTCCAGAAAGCTAACACCAAAAAGTCTTATTTTACACACTTTTTCCAATGGCACTTAAAATTTTGAAGGTGCAGAACTAAACTACTGGCTAATAAAACAACCAACACTGAAAGTACTTTTGCTTATGAACAACTCCTTGTAAGGGACTTAGAGATGTCAAATAATAATGTAATAGCTAATTTTCCATTCATCACTTTGCACATTCACTTGGTCAATGCCACACAGTGAATGCCCAGTGGAATGGAAATCCCCCAAGGATCAGTGAGCTGCCCTCAAATGTATCAAGAGTTACTTTACAGGTTTTCAATAGCAAACACAAGTTATGCCATCACCTGTCTTGCCTCGCACGCTTGTCTAGTGTCGTTATCCTTATTTCTCCATCACCTTGAGGTCTCCCATACTGTAAGAGGGAATGGTTCTGGAATGGAAGTAAAATGTATGATTGCATACAACAACAGTGTGAAGATAACAACACAGTCAAATGGTAGAACACTCGCTCCTTTTACCCCAAAAAAGCACTTTTCAGACCAAGAAACAACATCTTTGCTTCACTACCATCCAAATTAAATACTATAAAGAAACAGTCCATTCTATTTTTGTCTTCAAACAGAAAAGGTTTTCCAGTTACAAAAACATCTGAGAGTCATGTACACATACAAACCTTTAAGTATGCAAATATATTTTACTACCAACACCCAGAATAGCAAGATGTATGCACTTTAATATGCATGTCATTCTAAACCAAGCAAAGCATACTTATACTTAAATATTATCAAGAGTATTATAAACACCTATGAAATGAGGAAAAAAATCCATCTAACAATATTTTTGATTAAAAGTGATTTAAAAATTGTAAGTAAATTTTAAAATCGTGTTGCACCTACCAAATTCTCTATTGATAGTTGAAATTGTCTAATTTCCCGAAGTGTTTCGTTATCTCTCTTTACTTCATTTACATATTGAGCCAAGTCCTAGAGTATCAACAGCAAAAGGGAGGAAAAGAATAACTTTTCTATAAGACTGCTTTAATACATTATTTTGACAAGTTCATTTCTAATTTTATCTCTCGTTCAAGAATTACCAATATGTATGCCTAAATAAAGAAGGAAAAACGGGTCTGAATATCTTCAATAATAATTACAACACTCTTCATGATATCTATTGGAACATGAATTTAGTATCAAGAAAGAGGGAAACAACTAATGAATTATTAAAAAGAGCTGATTTTTTTCTGAATTTCCTCAGTGTTTTATTTTTAAGATTAAAGATGGAAACGTAATTTATGCAGCTCACTACTTAAAAAGCAGTCAACATCCAACATGGGAGGGAAATAGGAGGGAAATAGAGACTATAGTAGAAAACATATATAAGGCAGCTCAAAAGCAGAATGTAAGGTGTAAACGAATCATAAACCTAGGTGCTTATTAGAAGAGAAAAAGCAATGGCCCCAGTAGTGGGATCTTGCTCTTACTGTTGCACAGCAGAGAGAAGCCATTACACAGCAGATTTTAAAAGGGGCTTTTGAAGGGATATACTACCTGAAGTCACAGGGTGAGATCATTATTGTGCCCTTTACCAGAACATGTACTCTACACATTTCACTAAAGCCTTTAAAATGCTCTGAAGATGCTTGAGTAATAGTGACAATTTGCTGGGGCTTCTCTGTTTATGGCTAGAGATGAGGAGTGAGCAGAAGAGGTAATTGGTAGGGTCAGGAATGCTGAGAGCAGCAGTTGGAAAGGCATTCTGATCTTCCTAACTTGCTTTTACAGTGTCCCTTCAATATGGTCACAAATTTGGAGGGTGGGAGGAAAATACATCTTCTCCCTAAGATGTTTTTAATCAGAATCTATGAATAGCAGCAGTCATTATGCTAGCTTCCCAAATGGATCTGTGCAGGATACATTCACGTCAGTCTTAAAAGACTTACTTAGAAATTAAATAACCTCCTTTCTTGCTGCCAAAAGAAATACAACCAGCATAATCCTTCCAAGAATGTTCTTTCCTGGGGGGGCAGTACCACTTTGCTAGCACTTTTTCCAAAGATATTTTCTTTTGTCTCTCTTGGTGAGAGACATCAGGGTTTTTATCAGCAAAACACCAGTGCTACACTGTTATTTTTACTACAATGGCAGTGACTGCAGTAAATCAGAATGGGAACAATGGTACAGCCTTAAGGAGAGATGCTCATAGCCCAGTGGTTTGTGGGTTTGGAGGGGGTAGGGATGAGGTTCTGTGGTATTTTGTTTGGTTACATCCTGCCAGCCAGCACATATCTGCCACAGCCACCCTGGCAAGAGATTTCTTTGATTTCTACATCCAACAGACACCAACAACAAAGAAAACCAGCAAATTGGAAAGAAAAAGCAGCGATAAATATAAAACAAGAGTTATTTCCCAAGCCAATTAGCAGCAACCAGGATACATGGCCTGCCATTAGATGGATGAACACCTCTCCGAGGGAAATTATCATGGTTCCCATCCCTCTAAACTCACTGCACAAAAATGGATAAAGAAGGGAACTAAAAATCTCATTTGTGAGCTGGTTTGTATTCCAGGCTTTCAAGGCAGTCAGAAAATATGAGACAGCTGTGTGACCCAAAACTAACTTAGTCTGACTTCAGCATCTACTGTGGACCATACAGATTGCAACAGGAGATACAATTTATGTCATGCTGGCTCCTTTCCCCACAAAAAAATAGAAAAAACTTCCCAGTTCCAGCACATGAATGTCACCATTCATGCCATGAAGGCAACTGAAGCAGACTTGTGCTTTGTGTCTGAAGTTGTGCAGAGGATCACATAATATATTACATTACCTTATGCACAAGGCAGCACAGTTATTCTGTAAAGCATTTGTTTGTACCACTTGCAGGTGAATGTATAGTGACAGGTACCCTACCTCCAGAAAGATGCTACTGCTTTCAAAGGTAACACCAACAGAGATCATATTAGGATGGCAGAAAAAGGTCTTGTAAACAAAGACAGTTCTCTATCTCACTGGGAAATTACTGATCTTGATTCAAATTGACTGACAGTAGTAGAAATACTCCTAAATTTCAGGAGCAAGACCAACATGACTGAAACACCTGTTTTTCAGCAAATGTAAAAGTAACCCAAAAAGGAGAAGTTCCATCTCATAACCCTCTGCTTCAGAAAACTACTGAACTTGTTTCCCAGACTTGAGCAAAACCCTGAACTTTATACTTGCCATGACACACAAAGCTCACAGAAACCTGTGAAAACGTTTGAAATGTTGTGAAGAACATGATCTCCAGGAAATAGAATTCTGAGCTACCATTCTAACCACTAACAGACATAAATACTTCACTGCCTTAAATGCTCACCTTCATTGCATCAAGTGCCAGTTTTAGATTTGCCTTCTCCATGGGATCAGTAGTGTGCTTTACCAGCTCCTGTGGACAGAGCAGTTAAAACGTTCCACCTACTGTTTGTCATTTTTATAAATTGAAATGATCATTGCTCATCCCCACCCCTAAAAAAATAAAGCCAAAACCAGAAAACACAGCCCAAGAATAGGCATTTTCATCCCCAGAGTGAGCAGCCTACCAGTGAATAGGGACTATTGCAAACAGTTAATTGGCAAGTGTTTAGGAATGATGGCTGCACAGCCTAAACACTGACTTTAGCTGCTAATGAACCATCACAAGAAGTGAATTTGGTCTGTCTAGCACTTAAAACTTGCCAAATCAGATCATTACTGTATGTGCATGCTGGAAGCCCAGGTAAACAACACTCAGGTTCATTTACACATTGCTATATGGAATTTCATCTCTTCCAAAGCATGCACTTGTCCGCAGACAGGGATCTATGCTGGCAACAAAACCTCTGCTGAAGTCACTGTCTCATTATACCTAAGAGGAAGGTGACTCAGAAAACATACTGAAATCAACTTTACATGTTCAAAGAATTCTTTTAGCCACTTCTCATATGGAAAACAGTCTTTTTTGGGCTTTATGAAGTAGAAGTGTAACCTCTTGAGGAAACAGGTTATTTCTTCTTTATAATTTGAGGCAATAATTATGCATTTCAGTTCACATAACTTAGTAAAATCATAAGAAATTAAATAGTATTTTATACTCATATTACAATTAACAATTAAGTAATTAGTACTTATATTTGCATTATAATTCTAATAATTTATTCATTATTTTCTTTCTGAGTCTGTAAAATATTTTTCTTGTTCAACATATAGATATTGCTACACAGAGCACAGTGACATTGTATATTACCTTTCCACAGTATATAGGTTGATTATAAAATCATGAGTCAGATCTCATAAGTTTTTTTTTAAAAGAAGTTGTACCATTCATTTTGCTTTTTTCCAATTTCGCATTGATCAAAATATTGATGACTCATTTACAGAAGTATTTCAAAAATTTAATATTACAAAATGTATGTTGTTCTGCAGAGTAAAAATTATGTTCCATATATAAGTAGTAGATCTTTTTAAAATGACATTTTACAAGCATCAGCAGGGTTGACAGTCTAATATAGTAATATATTTCTTCACAGCTGAACTAATGAGTCTCTTGGCACAGCTATCAAATTAAATTTATAAGACTCTCCACCCTTATTACAGGACTAACTGCAAAAGCTAATGCTTTGTGGGTTATAACAAGAAGCATTTCAAAATAAATATGGCTTAATTGCAATTTATGACAGAGAAGAAGTATCCTAAAAGGATGCTGTATGTATGGCCCAGCTTCCTCTTTTTGGGGGTAATAGTTCACATTTCCAAGTACCATGATTATGGTTTGGTACTACTAACCATTTTAAACATACCAACAATAAAAGGTCCAGAGACTGAGGAAGCAATCATGTTTTATTCGATTTTTCCCAGATGTGCTTCAGCTCTAAGAAATTATCTCTGGGAGAAACCCTGCACTTGACTGAATTTTATTTCATAACATATCTAGGGAAGCATCAATCACCTTCCTTTGATAAAGACATTTAGCTTTCATTTTTACAACCCACTGATGATAGACAATCACAGTTTTGCTCTCAGCCCCCTTAAATTTCAAAAATAAAATACCTGGAGCAGTAGGTGATATTTTAGCACTCTTTGCATTGGAACCACTAAGAGATCCCGCAGTGTAAATTTCCCATTATTGGCCCTCTTGGAACATTCCTAGTTCAAAGCAGAAGAAAGAATAATACAATAGAGCTAGAAAATAAACCTATTCAAATGAAATATATGAAAACTCAGTGACAAATAAGCAACTGTATTAAGTTTGTGATAAACAGTATCAACAAAATGAAGAAGAACAGTTGATATGGCAATACCAAAAAAAAGCAAGAAAAAACTTCATTTAGTCACTTCTTTTTAGATGTTTCAACGTGCATGAGAGAGTAGAACAAAGGCAACAGAATGACTTCAATGAAAGCAGGACATAGTCACAGAAACACATGGTGTATATATAATGTGTGTGTGTATATATATATGTTAAAAAATACTGATACCTCTAACTTCAATTTAACATCTTCTTTTGTCTTGGAGATATTGTCTAAACACGATATTGCTATCTCCACTTGACTGCAGTACTGTCCATAAATAACCAACCTAAATCAAAGCAAGAGAAAGAATGAAAGGAATATTCATTTAAGAACAATCCTTGATCATTTTTTCACAATCCTTGTTTCAAAAGGAGCAATGCCTATACAAGCAAGGATAGAATTTAGCCATGTTTTCAATGAGCAGCATGAATAAATAAAGACTATTCAGGAGAACAGTTTTGCTCAATTTTCAAAATGGTTCAAAATTATTGCATCTTCCTTTAATAGTCAGATATATATAAATATGTTCTGATAAATACAGGATTCATTAAAAAGCAGCAAAACTTCTGTTGGACAGAACAGTCTGCAGTGTTTACAGCAACGTAAACTTGCAAGGTTGTAATGAATAAATTCTGGAACACAGGCTTAATAGGATTAATTACAGCCATCTTTTAAAGAATTTGTAGGTTATCCAAACTGATCTGTCTCCAACAGTTTTTATCAGGTCTGAGTTCCCAGATCAAAATAATAGTGTGTGAAACCTCAAGAAATTTTCAACAGATGTCAAGTGAAGCAATGCTTCCTGAAGGAGCCTGGTTTTACCACAGGAGTTTCTTGTCTCTCTGTGGAATACTTTCTGCTAGTCCCAGTGCCAAGAGTGCTCTCTTCTTCCACCTTTTCATCCATTTCTTGAGGTGATTTCTTATGTATGCTTCAAACCCGTTTTGGTGGGTTCCCATGAGCCTTCCACTGAGGTCTCCTAAATTTCTTTTTCTCTCACCTAAACTTTACCCTTTTATTTAATTATTTTTTTCACAATACAGGGATGACACCGATTTAAAACTTAGCATTTCTGATTACTTCTAATTACTGTATGGTTCAGATACTGCATCAACCTCTGTTCCCTTTTTTTTTTTATAATATAAATTTGGTATTTCTTCTCAATGTCCTTTGTTCCTCTTTCAGCACACATTTCAGAACAACTTTAGAAAGATAAGCATTTTCCAGAACTCCTTGTCCCCTGATTCCCTCCTACAGCAGCAGAAAGTGTAACAGCCTGGGAAATAACAGTGTGCTGCTCCAAACCAGAGAGTGTCTGAAGGCAGGACTGTTCATGGGCAGTCTGGGACACTCTCCTCCCTTGGAAAACTGTCCCATCTAACATTCTTTGGATGCTGCTGTCCAATTTCTCACACACCAATTATTACTGCAACAATCCTCCTTCACCCATCACACCCTGAAGCAAACCCAGTTCATTCCCTCAGGTCTTTCTGACTCTGCTCCCAGAAGGACCTAACTTTTAACCAAAACCCAAAGGTTACTTTAAGATAGGTCAGCAATGTAGCCCACAAAAGAAGTGTTTCTCAGCCAAGTACCTCAGGCATATAAATTCATCTATATAGTCAACAGCTGTTCAGTGCTGGCAGAAGGAACAATATGAAAAGGTGGGTAAAAAACCTGGCAATTAGCCCACAGGGTATGGCACGTTGCCACAGCTATCCTGTTATCAGCTTGGCTGCTTTTCAAAGCTTGAAGGCAAAGGGTGTTTGCTTTACTGTCACACCTCTGACTCAGGGTAAAGCAAGACCATAGTCTCTTCTCTTTTACATCTGCTGTCTCTTCTTTCCAGTTACAATCTCTTTAATCTGAAAGATCCCTAATGAGCATCTTTTTTTTTAATCTCTTAAATAATACTAATACATACAATAAAATATCTGGGATTGTGTGCATTAAAAAAAAATTCTGTGCAAAATAAGATGTTTAAGTTTCCTTAAAAATATATTTGTTACCTAAGTTAAAATATTGCCAAAGCTGGGCTAACAAGAGGGAGGGCTGATAAAATAAGAGGTTGCATTTTGACTTCCAGGCTCAAAACATCAAAACTAGCTTGAAAAGGATACTTACTTTGAATTTAATCCTGTTTCAGCAATATTCATCAAACAAAAATACAATAAAATACCAAACTCAGCACATATCGGCACAATTAGTAAGAGTGCTTAAATCTTACCTTTCCTTGTAGTTAATAAAAATTTGATATAGGTTCTGATCATTTTTGTTAACAATGGAATCATTGATGTCCTGTGTAAGATTCCTGTGAATTTTCACCAAATCCTTAAAAACAGTAATGGGGAGGGAAAAGCTTTGTAAAAACAGAATGGCTTAAAGCTTTGAATATAAAAATATTTTATGTTAGACCCAGTAAGTTCAATAAATTAGAAAACAGATCATTTGAGAGTAGAATCTAATTTCAAGGTTTGGCACATCTTTATGGTGCAACAAGAAAAACTAAAGTCCAAGAACTACCTATTAAAGACTAATTTATTCTAGCTTGAAACATGCAATGTTAATTCACCTTTATTTTAATAATGATAATTTTAAAATTAAGCAAGTCAAGTAAATGCTTTAGTGACAAGCTGAAGTAATGATTCCTGTCCCTGAGCTGTGAAAAATTAGTTCTGTACATTACATTGGTCAATTAGTGATGTCCTAATGCTAAATTAACTGCAATCATAATGAGTTTCCCAATACAACACTTAACTATTGTCTGAGAGAAAGAAAATAATATTGCAGAAAGATTTGCTCTTTGATTACTGTTGCAACTCTCCTTGCTTATACACTATCATACATAAACTATAGGAGATTGCATCAGCCTTCATACTGTATGGACACTGTCAGAGAATTCACAAGAAATTAAGCCAAAAGAGGTTAAGAAGTTTGGAAATCTGGGTAAAGAAATTATATACTACAAAAATAATGTTCAATACTGAGTCATGAACTAAGTTAAAACATTTCACACTGATGAAAACTAACAGAACATACAAGGTCAATCACATCACTGATGAGGGTGCAGAATCTTTAAACAGATCAAATTTAGTTGCTAGCAACTGTATGGCCTTATCCTCAGAATCTATCTTATTACAGAAATGCTTCCCAATTAATGGATTTGGAAGAGGAGCACTTTTTGTAAGGAGCACACAGGGACTCAGCTAAGCAATATCCCTGAAAAACTTCATGCTTAATGCTAAGGGGACAATGGGTCTTCTTGAGTATCTATCTCTAATTCAATCAAGTTTAAAACTAAACTGATGTTAATATCAGTTGAAGTTAATGAATGTTCCAACACTTCAGTATCTGTTACATGTACTTTTCATCTCTTTCTCTCTAATTCACAGGCATGCATAGGTGCACATATAAGTGCATTTATATATGGGTGCACCCACAGATGTACATACAAATGCATACATACAAAATATAGATAGACATATACAAACACAAATATAGAGCCAGACACAAATATAGAGCCATACATTCACTTTAAAAGAACAGAACTTAGAAATATGAGTGCCAATGAAAGGCACTCCCTTTAGAGTGGTGAGTAATTTGGGGTAATTGGATTGGAGGTTTTTTCCTTTAAAATGAAGTATTTTGATATCAGCAGTTGATCCAGCAAGCATTTTCAGAGTCTATTTAAAGAATATAACATCACCCTAAGGAAACAATCCTTCACCACAACTTCTGAACAGAAGAAAATCCATTCTGTTCTGAGAACACAGCACTTGCTCTTCACATCTCACTTTGCTGCAGAGCTCTGTGTAACAGCTATTTTTAGTTTAAAACAAGCTTCCACTGCCCTCCAGCCTTCCTGCTGAGGAACTGCCACACAGACAAGGTCTGAGCAGACAAAGGGTTTGCAAATATTTTTGGCTTAGGCAAGTCCTGTATTTCTTTTAAGGTTATTGGATGCCTTTGAAATGCTCCTGGAGTTGGAAATAAGCAGCATCTTCTAACAGCAGAATGCTGACAACAAAAAGTAAAATAAAACAACCCAAAAATAAGTTTACTATGTGTCTCCCTTGTCTAAAATAAACAGGTTTTGTTCTTTTTAATCTTATGTGATCCCATGCAATCCTTTAACTAGCAGTGAATGGGCTGACCTCAATGTTTGTGCTTACAGCATTCAAGCCCCTTCTGTACCCTTGTGCAGTGTTTCCATTAACTGGAATTACATCTTTCAATAAAAATAAGTCAATATGCCTGGGCACACAGAGCCTTAGGAAAGAGGTTTACAGTAACTTAGGTAGGGCACATCATGGCTTTATTTGCAATGAGTGAGAAATACTAATGCAGGACAGAATGTAAATTTGTTTTCAAAAGCAAAGGGATCTCTGTGGGGAGCTGATGTAATTCAAGAAGACAAGTTAGTTACTGATATCTGTGACAGTGTTTTGGACTGATATTCAAAGTGGAGGACATGACAGCAATTAAGAGGCAGAGTGAAAACTTCACGGAGGGAAAAATATGGCAAGGGGTCAGGTATCATCCCTATAATAACTTACCTTCTATCAGGATGATGCTGGAACAACAACCAAAACATTTTTACAGACAGGTCATGATCTCACAGAATAAAATAAAATCCCCAACATCTCCTTCTACAACCTGAGAGCCTGTTGTACATGCCAGAGATGGCCAAACCAGAGGTGATATTTTACAAGCAATAATAGCTTGATGTGGCCCATGGGCCACACTCCGGGGATCCTTTCTTTACAAAGGCCTCATAAAAGAACATTGCTTTCATTTGTCTGTGTTGAGAGAGGCTTCAGACCATTTCTCATGTCTTCCTTTAAAGTTAGACACAGTAAAGACATTCTGAACGCTTATCAACTAAAAATATATGTAAACTGTCATACTGTTTTGATTAAGCCAAAAATAAATGACACAAAGTAGCAGTCACAAGAACCACTATTGTTTCAGTCAAATAGGAGGTTTCCTAGATAGTTCACAGAGGATTTCCTTATCCTTTCCAGCACCAGATTCTGAATCCAAAACTGTGAATTACGTTAACTTTCAAGTGTATTCAATGATGTAAGAGCCAGGGCAGCTACAAGGATTTGCAGAGCAGCTAGTCAGTATACAGTGATAGGTAACTTAGCAGTCACAATTTTGTACCGTCATTAAAATATCAGCATTTATTCGAAGATAATCCATTTCTAGAAATTATCAGCTTTTAAGAATCAAAAATACTCCAGTTTATAACAATTCACTATCTCACATGCTAATACTATTTATCTTACCTTATTCCCTCAAGCAGAAAAAAAAATTGATAGTGCACGTATTTTTAAATCAAATAACATAAACACACTATGCATTGTATTTCAAATAATCATTTTGTGCAGTAACACGAATATATCACAATTAGCTATCAACCTCATATCTGTCCATTAAATATGCAATTACTCACAGGAATGTTGATGAAAACAGTATCAAACTCTGATGCTGACAGAAACCTTTTCAATGGCACCATGAAAAACTGAAAGAAAAAAATTATATATACGTTGGCTATTGTAATTCTATCTTCTAGACTGCTATAAAAATGTATGTTACAAATCTGTAAGCAGGATCTTACTTTCTCGATCGATTCCAGAGTTTCAGTGTACTTCTCTTCAGTTTGCTTTATTTCAGCAAGACAACAGCTTCTTATGTCATTTTCAGGACATTTCTACAATTACAATGGAGTCAAGTTTAAGTCATTAACAGGCACCTAATGGATAACAAATGGTTTTATTTGTTTAGAATTACGCAATTAGGATAACTGCTTCCTGAAATTCTCTGAGTACTGCAGCCTCCAAAGATGACAGCAATAACCAAGAATATTTTAATGTTCAATTAGCTGATGACTTTAGTAAAATCAAAATCAAAGTAATATTATGAAAAGTTAATGTTTAGACATAAAACACTGAAGTATCAGCATGTACTTTGGAAGCTGAAATACAAGGTCACATTTAATTTACATCCAGACTGAGAAATCTTATTTAAAATACTCAGCAGTTAATAATTCTATTAAACTTAATGGGACTAAATCATGTAAGTGACTTTGCATTACCATAAATATTGGACTCAGTCTATCCTTGTACTTATTTACAATTTTTCTCCTTTTATTTCTCCAGGGGAGCTTTCTCTTCAGACACAACAGGAGTATGTCCTCAGATCACGAAGTGAAGTGACCTCTCACACATGTATGTGTGTCTCCAACAACACCCTGGGATTTTCTCCATGTAAACCACCAGACTCGTAGGACATGGAAGTAATTACCAGTAATTACATGACTCTATAAAAATAGTTTACAAGCACTCTTACCCAAGATAGGATTTACAGCATTACAGCTTCAATAAAATTCTATTTCAAATAAAAGAGTAAATAACTGGAAGGTGATATGGAACCATTCATGTCAAGCAAGGCACAGAAGATCTGGAGATATGAGAAGTCAGCGTGGAGGTTTGACACAGTAACTGGATAGGTGCTTGCAGTTAAAAGCAGTAACTAATCCAAAATGTTTTCTCCAACAATAAGCAGTATCTTAACAAGTACCAGAACTACAGCATCCTTTCTGAAGCCTATTAATCAATTTGCAACATCTTTCACCATATCCCTGGTTGTATCTTAGTTATTTTCATCCAGTGTAGAGAATTCCTACGCTGTACATAGACCAGATGACTAGATGTTGTTCAAACACAGGAAGAGTCAGGAGTAGAAATTTAGCACTATAGTTTTTTTCATTCAGAAAGAACACTTTCAGCTTTTGAACAAAAGACATTTCTCCTCTAGGAAGAGCAGAATTTCTAGACTGAAATTTTAACATTTAGCTCCTGGTATATTCAAGAGTTAGACTCCTCGCACTCCCTCTCTGCTGCCAGTCTGCCACACCTGCTCAGCACAGCACAAAGCCCCACTTCCAGTGTCCATGAGCCACACACAGCTCCTACACAGCCTGGCCACCTTAGAGTGCGAAATGTATTCCTACCACCTCAACTACATGCCAAGCTGCAAATCACACAGGTCCATAAAGCCTGGGAACTGCTTTGGCTGATCTCCTTTTCTCTCTTTGTCTCTATGTGAGTCTACAAGCAGCTCCTACAAGTGGAACACAGCTTCTCACTCTCATTTAGCAGGTGCTGCAATTTCAGAAACTACTCTGGAAAACCCAGTTTGTGCAGTTCTTCATTTTCCCACAATGAACATTGAGGGTCTGTCTTTATCAGATGCAGACACAAGTAACCATTTTGCAAAAATACAGTCTTATCAGAAGAATTGTGTTTTGTGAGCATCATCATGGTCACCCTCATGTCAAATCTATCATTTCTTCCCAAATTCTTTTGTACAGGGAAGGAGACACTGTCACAGTTAACTGTAGTTAACTAATCCTTATAAAGTTTTAGAATTTGACATTATTTAGACTTTCAGCTATTTTTTACCTTTAGCTCAATACTGCCCAAAATGTTTGCAGTATTTGCCCCATTACAGAAGTTGCTGTACTCAAAGTTTATATCCATTTGCAAAATATGGGCTTGTGTTGTTCATCAATACTCATATGAGCAATGCAAGCAAATTCTGGCATTCCAGTTAAAACCATTGACATCAGTGTTGTGCTCACCTAACCCAAAGAGATCACTAACAGACACTTTTGACAGAAATTGACATATCAGTTTTTCTATCCACACCACAAACATCTAGAATTTGAGTGCAATAAACAAAAGGAAAGAGAGAATAAGAAATAATGTGTGATACCAACACAGGTAAGAAAAACTGCCTCTGAAGTTCAGCTACTCCTAGAGAGAACTTAGTGGAACAGTTTACTTTGCAACATAATGACAACCTAATGATAACAAAACCTACATAGTTGAAAAAGCAGTAAATTCACTACTTTGAAACAATTCTCCATTGTCCTTGTTAGGTTAGGTGTCCAAACTATGGGTGAAATAATATAAAAAATGATTTCACAATATTATAACAGTTTGGAGGTAGGACATTTGGAAGTAAGCAATTCAATTAACTGCTCTTAAAAGAGCTAGTAAATTTTACTGCTCAAAATTATCAAAATAATTACTGTATTTCATTTAAAAATCACTCTTTTTTTAAAGCTTAATATAGTTAATGTTTTCCCCTTTACCCAAACAGCCTGCAAAGTCTCACATAGGAGATAATGCTCTGCACATGACAACTCCAGATGCAGCTGAGCAGGAGTGTCACTGAAACTATCTATAAATACATAAATTCAACTTGGAAAATGTTAACTGCTATTGTTCCAAAGCAGCTAGGAACTGGAAAACATACAGGTTGCTGTGCTGCTTCATCTTTCATTAGGTCTTCATAAACTTCCCCACCTTCATCTTCTCCATAGACACAATCATACAACTCCTCATCTTCCTCAACACCAGTTTCACTGAAAAGACAAGACAAGAAGAAAACACAAAGTACCATTAGCTCTGCAAGGGACTACTTATAGGAGAAGTTTCTACAGTAAACAAACAGATTAATTAATAGAATATCTAATGAAAATATTAAGGGAAATTAAGTCCATTAATTAATTTTCTTTTCTCAATTCATTTAAAACAAAATGTACAAAATCAACACAATACTGAAGACTACACGAATTTAGAACCACATGGGAACAAAAGCAGCAGCAAAAGCAACACCTCAGGACAGTTTTGTCACAAGCTACAATCCAGCTGTCCTCTTCTCCTTTTCCCACCACCTCCAGTGAAGAGGAGCTGCCTCTCCTTACTGCCTGGCATGCCACTACACTGGGATGTGAGACACTGGTACAGGTCTTCTTCCTGCCTGAAGAAAGGACTGTCCAGGGTAAAATACACCAAAGACTGCAGAGCCAGCACTGAGGCACTGTGCATCCACATCAAAAACCAAAATCTGGATCATCTCATGCAACCTTCAGCTACACAAAAATGTAAAAAGGAGCCAATTAAACTGAATATCAGTTCAACAAAACCAAGTATGCTCAAGTGATGCCCTCCAATTACCCAGACTGCAGAAATAAAGAAGAAAGTCAATGCTCAACTCTACCCTCAACTAATTCAGCTTCATTACAGTCAGCCCTCTAGAGTGTTACCTACTTTGTGCTAGGACTGTATCAAGCCCATAATATCTTTCACTCCAATTTCTTAGGGTATGTCTGCAAAAGAACTCTAAAAGATATTGCAAGCAGTTGAGTCACAATAACAATATAGAAGCTGGATCAGATATGCTGACAATCTTGAGGTTTTTCCTGTTGGAAGACAACACTGAAATCCTTCAGAGTAAAAACCAACAGGTTAGTCCAACATTTCAGTTTCCACCAGCAGTGATGGTGTGCTGGCACTTCACATTAAACACTGGCAGCTGTCAGATGCAGCAGACACACTCCATTCTACCAACTCTAGTCCAAAAGCTGGCAAAAAGGCAGAGTAAGGATAGAAGCATTTAACTACTACAGCTCTTTCTGACAAAAAGACTTTAATTCATTTTAAATTATTTAGACACCATTTAAACTCAGGGACAATTAAATCAATTTCAAATAAACTTACTAATAATTGAGGGTAACTAAAAAATGTGAGCCATTTGCATCATTCATTGGCATGTTTGTTTCTTATTCTTGAATTGCTTTCTCTACAATTGAGACAGCATGCCACTATTAAATTTCCATTAATAATATTCATAATTTGTTGCACAAGAAGAGTTACAAATCAATTTCTTTGGTGTGATTTGTTAGCTTTTTTTTAATGAAAGACGGTCTTACAATGCTGAATTTATATACCCATGTAAGAACTGGTGGAAATATTATTTTCAGTTATAATGCCACCTCATCTAAGAAACAAGGACATCAACTCTTGCCCACTGGGGTCTCAGAGGAGACTGCAACTCCTCCCTTCTGCATGCTCTGCTACACAGAGTGAAAAGCAATTATCTCTGAGACAGTCAGTCAGCTGCAGAGACAAGGACAAGCTTTGCAGGGAAAGTGGTAAATTAAGCAATGCCAATCATGGTGAGGTTTCCCTTCTTTATAGGCACCGAAGAAACTAATCCCTGGTGTGAACAGCAGCTTATTTCCCACACTGCAGCAATGACATGCAAAGAGTGCTGGTGAACTGTGAGCCTTGGAACAGTGAGCATCATGTCCAACATGATTTCTCATGGATCTTGAGAGATCCCAGCCATAGGACACAAGGGTATCCTGACAATCCTGCAAACATTTCCCCAGAAAAGGTAAATGCACCCACATTATGAATTTCACTGACTTTAGGGGAAAGATCCACTTGAATGCATTTTCTTTACAAGTTCAAGACAATTTCCTTGAGTCCCTTGCAAGTGATATTGCAATCTTCTGAAAGTATTCTCATAGTACTGACAGGTAACTTAGAATTGCATTCTTTATTTACTTTGCTACCAGCACTCTCTATGAAACATGCTGCATTACATTCACAAATGTATCATAATAATTCAAATAAGCATTCATAATTAATTCTTCCTGGACAGCATTATGACTAACAAAATATTTACAAATTAAATACATATCCCATTGTCATTAAAACTATATGTTCTGCAACACAATACAAAGAAATGCAACTGGAAGACCAAATCTGTAATTAATATATTTACAACGTACTCTATTAAATCAGGAAGACCTTTGTAGATATCTTCATCATCGACACTTTCTTCTGTAGGGAAGGGCCTATAGAAAGAAAAACAGCATTAATTACAGACAACACTAGCCTAGTCATGTAGTGGATTTCTGTTTGGTTTCCAAAATCTTCACACAGATTATTGTATACTAATGTGCTTGTATGTTCCCCACTTTCTCTGATGAGCAGTATATGTGTATTTATACTTCATTATGTGGATTGACACTTAATAAAAACCCTACTGGACAGAGTTGTTCTAAATCACCACTAATACACATCATCGACATTTTTCAACTGGAAAAAAAACATCAAAACGTCCAGGTTAGGTCTGGCTGAGGGTTTTTTCGGTTTTTTTTGAAAACAAGAATCTCATAAACTTGACCAATTTTGCTGATTTTTTAGAAGCAATGAAGAAGAGAAACCCCACTTGTCTTTATATAAATCAGCCCTGCATCAGCTTGACTTCTGGTCCCTGTGTAAGGATTATCACACAAGTTCTGCAGTACCAGCTGCTCCTCTGTTCACCTCCTGTTTCAGCATGAGCAGAACACAAACTCAGGCCCTTCAGTGAGTGTACCAAGGTAGCAGACACCTTTTGTAACTCCTCAGAGCCTTGCTTAGCTGCTCACCTGGCACTCTGCCTTACAGCTAGAGAAGTTCTTAGTGGGGGACACAGCCTATACTGCTCCTAACAACTTTTCCAAGAAGCATCACACCGAGAGGCATAACTCGCACCATTCCCTATGGCAATAACATACCTTATTCCTGTGCCTAGTGCAATAGGAGTGCGGGAAAGCTTTGAAAGTGTTTCTATCACCTGCAGAAGGAGGGAAACAGAACTATGATTAGTTGTAGAACAGAAGTAAGAAAACATTTTGCCGTCGATCGTTACATTACTAGAAAATGAAATCTTCAAATCGAATTATATAAACAGAGACAAAATGCGGCTGTGCCAAACACAATTTGCAGTTGGACCTGGACGAATTTGCGATGGCATTTTATCCGGCAGCAGAGGGAGCCAGAGCCCGGCAGCAGAGCCCGCGCCTGGCGGGGAGGAGAGGGGCGAGCCGGGGCCGGTCAGGGGCGACCTCGGGACCGGTCAGGGGAGACCTCGGGGCCAAGGCGAGCCCGCCGCCATCGGCCAAAGCCGCACAGACGAGCCCTGAGCTCTCCCCATAGGCAGCAGTGTGGAAGGGCTCATGCTAAGAGAATCGCGCCCGTAAGGCTGAGGTTACACGGCGACGGGAGCTTTAGGATGGGTGGAATTCACACACACGGCCACGGAGAGGGAGCTGTTTTGTTGGCAATTAATGAATGCCAGACCTACTGTGACTGCCTGGCGAGTCCTCTCTGTCACAGCTATTTACTCATACTCAGATATGCAAGAGTCTCCCATTTGCTAGAGGGAGAAAATGACCCACGGTGACACCCTGCCTGAACTTCTGTACTTCCAATGACAAGGTTTCCCCTGAACTCATCAAAAGTTTCACCCTGGATCTTTTCAAATCAATATTCATATTAAGCTGAAATCTCCAGAGAACATTTTTATCAGCAGTATCCAAAATCAGTACAGCAATTCTACATTTCACAGGCATTTGGGAATAATCTCTACAATTTCAGTTGTTTATTTTTGAAGTTCTAATTACAAGACTACCATGACCATAAAAGAGAGCTAAAAGTGCATCTCTCAAAGGAAGGGAAATTGCATGTTTACACAGGAAAATGACAAAGTAAAAACCACAGAGAAATATCACAAACTACAGCTAAAACTAAAGTTACAAGGCCTCTACAGTGAATCATATTTCATAGGCAGATGAGCAAAATTAAGAATTAATGTTAGATTAATCCTGTGAAAGCAATATTTGGAGTTCATTTAAGCTGCTGTGAAAATTAATGCCCCCCCCCAAAAAAATCTCGTTTTGCCTAACAGGCAAAGAATAATAAAAACAAATAAATATGTCATTAACATAATCAAAGATGGGAGTACGTATTTCCCCTCTGAAGAGAAGAAATGCCATATGGTCAAGAATAAGCTTTAGAAACTGTGAATACAAGTTGATTGAATAAATGACAAAATTAATTAAAAACTATTTCACGTTAATTAAAAGGTCAAAAGGGAAAAAAGACTCCTTTAACAAGTCTTATTGTTGCAGGGGAGTTCTGGTTCCCATAGCAGACCTGAACCTGGCCCTGCACACCTGCAAGAATCCCAGCACAGGGCTGAGAGGAGCACTGAGCCACACGAGACAGGATGGGACTCAGTGACAAAATGATCTGTCCTGACACATGGGCTGGCATTGACTGGCAAAATCACAGGAGGCCCAATGGTTCTCCAAACAAAGAGAGGCAAGTCTGGTGAACTGAATATCCCTTACTTGTTTCGACATGATATTTCCCAGCATACAAAAAATCTTTTGCAAACTATTCCACCCACGCAGACCCTTTTTCCTTAGAGGGATTCTCACTTATCTAGCATAATCAAACCCAGTAGACATATGGCTTACTCTTTACAGCTAATTACAGTTGCTTCAAGATTAAAAAAAAAAAAAAAGGCTGTACAAATAAAATTACGAATTTTAGGTAGGTAACTAGCAAGCATTATTCCTAAAATGTACTGCCATGCTCCATTTTAGAGCTATTAATATGAACATAAGCAAACCCAAAATTTGTAAATAAGAGGAATAGAAAAACTTTTTCAGGAACTGATGTGAAAACTTGGAGGGGGCGGGCACAGAGGCCCACGATGACACCCACACACACTGGGGAATCCAGAGAAGCATTTACCAGAAAATGCATAGAGGAAGGAACTGTGTGGCTATAGACAACAGAAGACTACAGGAATCTTCCCTTCTCTTAGAACAGAAACCATTAAGCATTCCAGTCTCTCTAGTAAGGTTAGAACACAGATTCAACTTCCACAGAATAAAAGATAATGCTTACCCACTGAACCACTCCTATTAAACCACACCTTAAAACAGCACTGTCAAGAAACAGAACCGAGTCTACTAAGAGGCATTTTTCTTGCAATTGTGGTTTCCCTAAAGAATTCTGAGAAAACGTCAAGAATAATTACACCAGTAATCACACGTGGAATTACCACATCTGGTCAACATACTATTCCAATATACGTGTAAATTTGTATTTGCTCCAACAAAAGGTGGGGCAAAGCAAGATTCTCCTTCCACTTGAAATTTCAGTTCTTTGGTTCTGAGACACTGCAGAAACAACTAAGAGTTCCCAAGTTTCAAAGTCCATGGGGATGAATGCAGTTATGTATGGGATGAGTTGCCTGATAAACAAAGAGAATTTCAATTGCCATTCAGAAAAACAAACTTAAATGCAGCAAAATGTCTGATTTTCAATAAATGACAAAAGACAGACTCAGGAGTTTTTCAGAACACTGCTAATTTGAAGACCCTTATGGTTAATATGAAGGAACCTATAATATTGTGCAATTCTGAACTCCAAAATTACAATGTACTATACACATTAAAGTTCCTAACATTCAATTTAGCACTTTTCATGTGCTTTTTTTGCTTTGCTCTCTTCCTTTTGGTAGAGCTTTAATCCCTTTTTGCATTTAACCTTAAATGATCACCCAGCTCTCTTCCAAAGGAAGGACTCTGACAGATGCTCCTGCACTTTGAATGAGGCTTAACTAGATCTTAGTTTAAGTTTAAGCACTCCTTGCTTGCACAAAGTCCAGAACGACAGAGATTCCATGCCTGGTGCTGCTCTGCAACAAACAAGTGTCCAAAGGGTTGCAAAGCTCTGCACACACACTACCACCAGGAACAGTCAGCAAAAAACAGGTGTCGAGTAAAGATTCCTAACTGACAATCTGGCCAGCTACAACACACAAAAAAAGAAACATTTATACTCGAAAATATCCCAGAGTGAATACATTCCTTCACACTGAAAAGCTCAATAACTCTCCATTTGCCTGCAATCAACCTGACACTGGGAGATATTAGCAAGAGGCTTCCAGGAATAAAAGGAAGCCTCGCTGCACCCAGCCCAGTACAGCTCCTATGCACGGCCTAGCACCAGGAGACAGAGGTTCAGCAGGTCTTTAGAAGTCACATCAAAGTCACACTCACTTCAAGAAGATGGTAACATCCAAGTTGGTTTTTCAGTACATCGCCAGTTTATGCAAAATATGACACGAAATTCAAATTTACAGCGCTGGAAGAGGAAGCACACCCCAGCCCACACCCTGCTGAGTGGCTCTGCTCCTCATTCATATTTCAGGCACTGCTGGCAAGAGCAATGGTCTCACACTGTACATTAACTCTTTACTTCATTGGGAACTCTAACAGCTATTTTTTTTTCTTCCCCTGGCTTGGTATTTATTATGGCTTAACGTGACTCACAGTTGTAGGTCAGACTCTCCAGTTTATGTAAGAACTTTAATATGCTTTGCCAAAGCATTATTTTGTAATTTCCTGCAGCCGTACTCTTCAGTTTATCACATCAGATATTCCTGTGCCTGCTTACAGCAGCTGTACACTAGAGGGACTATTTACTACTTCCCATAGCAGTAGGGTGTCTGAGTTAAAATGTCCCTAAAGTATTTTAGTGGTGTCTCTTTTTACTCTTACTTCTTTAAAAAGAACTTGCAAATCATGCAGTTGAAGAACAGATTAAGTACATTTTAAAAGTACTTTTCCACTTTTAGAAGACACAGAAGTACGTCATTTTGGAACTCACTGTCTCCCCAAACAAGCAATAATTCCGTGCTACTGACAGCTGCTGTAAGGACTCTCATCATATTTATATTTCTGATATTTACCTAAATTGCAAATGTTAAGTGATCAACAAATATTGATGGCAACAATAGCTTATGCTAATAAAACCTAGAAAGACTCACTTGTGGTTAGATCATCAAAGCAGTTGCTTCCATGCAGGCACTTAAATCAGGATGTGTTTTCCTAAAATACGGCAAAATTCAGAGCTCTGAGCAGATGATGATAAACAAAAAGCCAACGCATTCAGAAATCCAATGTTTCTGGAGAACACATCATACATTCTCTGCATCATGGGGTGGGGATCTTATGAGGCCAATTTTAAGTGCCACATATCTAGGACATTTTAAAGCCAGAACTGCTAGTCATGCTCACATGCTGAGTGAGTTCTCATGAAGCTGTTTTCACTCATTCACCAGACTGGTGAGGAGGAGGGGAAAGAGAAACATCATTTTTGTGTCTCTGTCACTCAGAGATAAGACGAAAATGCTATACATAAATATATTCTCAACTTACTTATAGTAAGAAAAGTTCCTCTTTTGCTGCTGTAGCATTAAGCAGGCTCTGGGAAAACCCTTCATTTGGCACAGAGGGGAGTGAGGGGCAGTTGAAATATATATATATTGATTAATATTGTACACTAATCCATCTAACTTTTGAACCAAAAGACCCCTAGGAACTGCTACAGTTCCATTTTACTTGGTTAACAGTTAAAAAAAAAATACATGAAGCCAGACAACTCCAGGGTGATTACACAGCTGCTGATCTAATGAGCACATTATTCCAAGTAAAGCGTGTTCATAAGTTAAATTGAACATTTTCTCTCCATCTGCCTTGTTCGGGTACCGTGTTAGTAGTCTGTGTTAGTTCAGGTTAGTTTTAATCAAACCACAAGCCTCTAGGGAAGGAGAAAGGATAAGGGCTTTCCAAAAAGGCAAAATAAATGAAAACTCCTTAAAATGAGAGGAAATAAAGGGAGAGGGGAAAAAACAAAGAGAAAGAAGAACAAACCTGACCCAAAATCAAACCTTTTGTTTCACATACTGGCACCTCTAACAGGCTCTTAAAAACA